ATGGACAACTGCCTCCTTAACCATGAGACCAGAGAACTGGATGGTGCCTATCACTACTGAAGAGTACCAGCAGGGATGACTTCCTTCTTTCTAGCAAGCACTTTCCCTAAATCATTACTCTATACTTATTCACAGTAGCAATAGGACTGAGGCAATTCATTGGATCCTAGGGACAATTTCAACCTCAAGGAAACCAAAGATTTAGTGTGGATGTGGCCTAACCAGAGTCACTTGGGGCTAGTGACAGTGGTAATATATGCTCTCATTTCACTCAGAGATGTTCACCATAGGTCCAAAGTTTAAGGAAAGAAAAAAGAAGAGAGATTGAGACAGAACAATCTAACCAAACTGCCATAATTTGCTCTTTAGGTTAAATCTAAGGGTGAGTCCTCTCCCTAGATTAAAATGTCCAGCCAGTCAAAAGTATGATGCTATGAAAACTAGTTAAGTTTATAGGAAAGAAAAGTCAAAAAGAGTAGGAGGGAGCTGGGCTATGGCTTTTGTTTTTTAGTCTAAGGATTTACTCATTTTTGATGCTATGGAAACTAAAAGAAATATAACCATGACAACGAATTCTTTGTAAAGGAACTATTTTAGCATTCTCTCTCCACGGTCAAAGTAACTCCAGCCTAGAACTGCTCTAGGCAAAGTGGAGAGATTTTATTTCCTTTTAAAATCCCTACAACCTTCCATTAAGACAACAGTGTAGAGGTCACTGAAAAAATGAATGTCTTTAGGAGAAAAAAAACCCAAAACAAACACTTATAAAACACAAGCAGAAAACATGTTAAAGGAAAACAGTTTCAGAAACAAAACTAGCTACAGAGAAACAACTGTTCTAACCAGGGTTTCAGGTAGGGAATGGGATGGGAGCTGATCTGTGTCTTTTCACAAGGTCATCTCATTTTCTCAGCAACTTGCATTTTTAAGAAGGGAGGGGTCACACTAATAGAAAAGTTACCCTGCAGAAGCAAAATAACTAAAGGGCTAGGTTATAAAGTACTGGCTCTGCTATTATGTGACCCTGACAAAAACAGCTCAATCTTTCTATGCCTCAATTTATTTACCTAAGACAAACAATTCTATCTCCTCAGAGATAAACAGTGTCTTAAGATCTCCAAGGAACAGGCAAAGGAGCTATAAAAATGATTATTCATGGCAGCAGGGGACCAAAAAAAAAAAAAAGTACTCCCCCATACACACACCAGAGGGAGGAAGCACATGAAACCATATGAAAACAAATTTTATCTTAAAATTAATGACCAGGTATTGTGCCCAGCAAAAAGGAAAAAATTGAGATAGGCCACAAGATTCCTCTAAAAAATACCTCAAACTGGAGTCCATTAGCTAGAGGAATAGCCCACCTATAGTTGCAAATCAAACTTTTTACCAAAGATGTTGGCCAATTACACCAGCTACCAGAGTCAGCTATCATATTATGCAAAAGAAAAACTCTCCATGCCAGTTTCAAACAAAAAATGTCTCTCATATAGGAACATCTTGGTTTTCCAGCCATGGCGATCACATCCAGCCTGTAATTCTTCTCCAAACGTTCAAGCAAAAACTTTCTGGTGGTTTACTGTCTCTTATTCCTCATATGTAGAGTTTGGGTCGTCTACTACTCCTGTGTTTCCTCCTTTAGTTTCCATCCCTTCTATCATGGATTGCACTTCAAATTTAGTCAACTCTCAGTCAGGTTTTCTGCCTACATCACTTCATTCCAAATTCAATAACCAACCAAACTCATTTGCTCTGCCCATACCTTATACCAGATTCCCAATTCCTTGTGGCACAATAGTACTTTCCCTTGGAACCTGATCTGTAGGATAAGAACTCATTCAGCTTCAAGACTCTACCAGAACCGACCAGATAAACTCATATCATTTATTTCATCTTTGACCACCCCCTCCTAGAAAACTTACTAATGTTCCATTACCATCAGAGAAACAGAACTGGGAATAACAAACATCATTTGGTTTGAGAGATTCAAATTACTTTCTTAAAGCTACACACCCAGGCTTCTCCCAACCTTCATCTTCTCGAAGGTCATAAATAACCAGTTTATTCTTTATTCAATCTAAAATATTTCCACCATCGTTGCTGTAGTTGTTGTTGAGTTGGTTCCGACTCATAGTGACTCTGTGCCCAATCCTGCCCTGTTCTCACAATTGTTATGTTTGAGCCCATTACTGCTGTTGCTGTGCCAACCCATCTCTCATTGGGGCCAGTCTTCCTCTTTTTCGCTGCTTCTCCATTTTACCAAGCATGATGTCCTTCTCCAGGGACTGGTTGTTTTTCCAATTGCCAGACAACATTTTGTATGCTTAGCGTCCTAAAAATAAGTCTAATAATTAGATTTTTATTCTTTAAACTTACTTATATTTTACTGTGTGCTAAAGTAAAATCAATGACAACCCTTAACAATGACTGTTAAGTGCCACTGAGTCAGTTCCGATTCATGACACTATATAGGGTTTCCCAGTCTATACGTCTTTTCAGAAGCAGAAAGTCTCATCTTTCTCCCAAAGAGCAGCTGGTGGGCTTCAACTGCTGACCTTGTGGTTGGCAGTCCAGTGCTTATCATATGCAATCACTGTGTTCCCATCCTCAACAATACTCGTAGTGATACATGAGATTTGTTAAGGAGCACTGGTAGTGTGTTGAGTTAGCTGGGCTATTAACCACAAGGTTGTTGTTGTTAGGCACTGTTTAGTTGGTTCTGACTCACAGCAACCCTGTATAGGGTTTCCGAGGAGCAGCTAGTGAGTTTGAACAGCTGACCTTGCAATTCATTGTGGTTGACTGCTTATCCTACAGAGCAACACTAGGACTCCAAACCACAGGGTTAGTAGTTTAAATCTACCAGGCGCTCTGAGGGAGAAAGATGAGGCTTTCTGCTCCTGTAAAGATTTAGTCTCAGAAACCTTATACAGGATCTCTGGGTCGGAACCAACTCCACTGCACACAACTATCAACCAGCACCACAAGAGAACAATAACACTAGGGAGGAACATATACCTTAGAATAATCAATCACTTGAGATCAAAAGGGAAGCATTTTACCAAGGAAAAAGTTCAGAAAGGTAAAGAAAGGAGCAAGAATGAAAACAGGGAACACAGGGAAGTGGGATAAGTGATGTTACATTGCGGGGATTGCAATCAATGACATGAAGCAAAATGTGTATTAATTATTCAATGGAAAACTGATCTACTCTGTAAACTTTCAATCAAATCACAACAAAAAGCTAAATATATATGTATATACACACATACACATACATATAAGTTCTGGTGCAGCACTACAGGATATGCACTAAATTACAAGGTCAGTTTGAACTGCAAGTTTGTTGGTTCAAACCTACCAGACACTCCTCGGAAACTCTATACAGACTCAATGGCACTTGACAAAAACAACATGATGTATTTGCTGTTTATAAGTACCATGTAGTCAATTCTGATTTATAGAGACCTAGTATAGAGTTTCTGAAAAGCAGTTGGTGGGTTTGAATCATCAATCTTGTAGTTAGCAGTCCAGTGCTTATCCTAAAGCACTAAAACTCCATATACATATAAATATATATATATTTGTATTTGCAAATTAGAAGAGCATTTTTTAAAAAGAAAAAAAAACTAAAATTATTCTAATCACAACTACAATTTTATCAATTGAAATCTTAGCACCGGACAAAGTGCTATTATAAAGAAACAGGTTCAGCAAGGTTAGGTTAAAAGACTTGCCCAAGACCACATTAACTGCTAGTGACTGAGTTGAAATTTGACCTAGGTCTGCCTGGATATAAAAAAGATGCTATGTCTTTCTAGAAAACATGCTGAAAGAGATGACTTGTCCTTAAAGTTTCATTTGTTTGGAGCCCACTGCTGCCACTGTGTCAGTTCATCTTGTTGGGGGGGTGGGGAAGAGTCCTTCCTCTTTATCACTGACCCTCCACTTTACTAAGCATGAGGTCCTTCTCCAGAGTCAGGGCCCTCCTGATAACATGTCCAAAGTATGAGAGACAAAGTCTATTATCCTGGCTTCTAAAGGGCATTCTGGATGTATTTCTTCCAACACAGATTTGTTTTTCTTGCAGTCCATGATATTTTAAAAATTCTTCAACACCATAATTCAAATGCATCTATTCTATGGTCTTCCTTATTCATTGTCCAACTGTAACATGCATATGAGGCGACTGAAAATACCATGGCTTGGGTCAGTCCTCAAACTCTACTATGTAATCAGTATTTTAAGATGTACCAATTAACTGTCTGCGTGGTCATATATATTAGAATTAAAAAATAAATAAGGTCATACTATATCTAAGCTACTTTATAAAATACACAAAACAGCATCATACACATCTTATGTAGAAGTTGAGTGGTACCCAAGTACATGGAGGACATCAAGTAATTAAAGTCCCCACATATAAAAAGAAAACGAAGCTTTGCTCTAGAAATGAACACAGACTGAATAATATTTCCCTGCTGAGAAACAGACCAACAGGAAATAACATTCCCCTAAACCTTAAAATTTCAAGCTCACCAGCTGCTCCTCGGAAACCCTATACAGGGTCGCTATGGGTCAGAACCAACTCGATGGCACATAACAACAACAACAAACCTTAAATTAGACTCCTGGTGTGGCACTGTATGATCAGCACCGGACTGTGAACCACAAAGTTGGCAGTTCAAACCCACCAGCTGCTCCTTGGAAACCCTATACAGGGTTGCTATGAGTTGGAACCAACTCAATGGCACTTAACAACAACAACAAAGCCCTAAATTGCTTCTTACCACAAGCACAAAGGGACTATTCTGATGGACCAGAGAACTTAACATTGCCTTTTGTTTCCATGGAGTGGCTGGTGAACCGCTGACCTTACAGTTAGTAATCTAGTGCTTATCCCACAGCACCACACCAGGACTCCTGAGCATTACCAAAGACATGGACTATCATCAAGGCCAAGGATTCCACTTCTTGAAGAAAACCACTGTTTTACTTACGAAGCTGGCCGGTCTTGTCTGAGGTCAATGGTGAAGACAACTGCATCTTCACCTGCAGATAGGAACGTACAAGGAGAGTCTGGCTCCAGGGCCAACTGAAGTAGAAAAAGGGAAAAGAATGAGGCTTCCAAAGCGTAGAACTAGAGGTCCTCAAGTTCATATCTTTATGTTTTAAAAGCGGCTACAATTAAAATGTCTCAGCATGAAAAATGTCTACCTCCTTTATTATAAAATCCCACCAGAGGAGGTAATTTAAGTCCATTCTCTCCTGTTCTATGTGAATTATTTATACCTAGTTTATGTATTCTATACATGGCAAAGGGCAGTTGACTCCCTATTTCAAGACCAGAAGAACCTAGATGATACCAAAGAAAAACATCAGTCATTTAGTCTCAAAATCTATTCCATGTCCTCCATTAGTAGAGAAATAGTCTCCAAGTTCCATTTTCTATATTTAGGATTTATATCAATTATCTAGTGGGTTGAGGCTAGGCTTAAGAGTCAAAGAAACAGATAATTTTCAAATTTCCTAGAAAGTTCATTAAAGGACACTCCAGGACCACCCATATATATTTGCTTAGGATTTATAAGAGAGTCATCCTCTTTCCACAGCACAGAAGAACACTATGCCTATTCTAAAACTTGGCAGATCTTAGTTCCTCACAGGATCTCACCTTAAGCACTTGGTTATATACCCAGCTCATAGGCTTCCAGAACCAGTGCTATTTCTAAGTTGAGACTGGTGAGCAGGAAAATTAAAACTTTCACATATGAGACGCTAACCATTAGCATCTTGGAACTATGAATATATTCTAAAGACAAGCACAATAAAATTTGGAAGACATGAGACACCAAAGATTTCCAATTCAATTACAGCTCAGTTTAGGGTCTAGGTACAATCAACAAAGTGCTGCATGTTCACAAGCTAGGAATCTTTCAATTATTTGCCTTCTAAGAAGTTTCATTTAGAGTGGCAGATTTTTCTTTTTATAAAACTTCTGACTGAAATAAAGGGTGATGCAGATGGCCAGCCCCACCGCATACAACAAAAGGGAAATAATAGGTACAGATATGGGAAGGGCTTTGGCCCAGATCCACAAAGGATCTGGATTGCACACAACTGGGACAAAAGCTTACTTACCTTGTGGGAGGCTCCCTTGTGCTGAGCCACACGCTTAGTATTCTTGCAGCACTGTGTGGCAGATAGTTCGGCTACCCGCACCTGCCCATCACGGGCACACATGGCCAGGGTGGAATCACCACTGTTAGGAAGGAACTTGGCCTGGGGTGGCAAAAATGAAGAGACACATAAAAGGAAGTGAAGAAATGAATTTGAGAGGGAAAGATGTAATGGTGACCCAAATTCATTCTTCTTTTCTAAAGCAACAGCTAGAAACTTAGCTCTCTCGCTCTATATGAAGGGGCTTTAAAAACGTTCACTGAAAAACTAAATTAAAACATAATGGAATTTCTCCACAACTTTAAGTGCCTCCCCCCTAACAGTTGGCTAAAGCACAATTATTTCCAGGAATTAAAAAAAGGGAGAGAAAAAACATTCTCGGATATAAGAGAGCATTTCAGTTGGCTCTGGTTGAGAAGTTTCTGGTAAACTAATACTGTCCCTGTGTTGTTTATTAAGTGTCTTCAAGTTGGTTCAGACTTATAGTGACCCTGTGTAGGGTTTCTGAAAAGCAACTGGTGAGCGTGAACCACCAATCTTGCGGTTGAAACCGATCCTGCCCAGGACTCCCCTTTGTTGTTGTTAAGTACCGTCGAGTCAGTTCCAGCCCACAGTGGCCCTGTATAGGGTTTCCCAGGAGCAGCTGATGAGCTTGAACCACCGACCTTGCGGTTCAAACCAACTTTGCAGTCCAGTGCATTAACCCACAGCACCATACCAGGACTCCAGAACTCCCCTAGTAGGGAAGAAAACTAAGAAACAAAGGAGGAAAATCTATCTTGGTTTAAGAAGCAAAAATAAATTTGCAACCCCCCCCCCCAAAAAAAAAAGAGGGAAACTAGAGGACAATGGGGAAAGGAAGAGAAAATGCTTAGGGATAAATGGCTATCACCAATTAGATGTTTCAAACATGGTTATAACTAAAGAGTAAAATTCTCCAGGGAATAACAGAAACAGCTTTTATCAAATGGTTTAAGTACAAGACACAATGGTTAGCCTTAATCCTCAAGACCTTATGTATTATTAGCCCCATTTTACAAGTAAACTGAAAACAGAGGTTAAGACTTGGCCATGATCATACAACTAGTGAGAGGAAGAGTGAAAAGTTGAAACCAGGCATTCTGGTTCATCAACTCATACTATGGTGGTGGTGGCGGCTGTGTGCCGTGGAAGCGGTTCCAACTCTTAGGGACCCTATATGAGGTTTCTGAGGCTGTGAATCTTTACAGGAACAGAAAACCTCATCTTTCTCCCATGGAACGTCTGGTAGTTTCTGCTGGAAACTATGGAACTGCTGACCTTGAGGTTAGCAGCCTGACTCATAATCACTACACTACCAGAGCTCCTTCCCATATACTACACTGCATCTAATAGAGCACATTGAATACCCTCTTGACAAGTTTCAAGCACCCTACCTATAATGGTCCGCGGAAGAAAGATGAGGCTTTCTGCTCCCGTAAAGATTTACAGCCTTGGAAACCCTATCCAGGGTCGCTATGGGTCGGAACCGACTCCACAGCACTGAACAACAACAACAACCTATAATGGAGTCCTGGTTTGGCACTATAGGATAAGCACTGGACCACAAGGTCAATTTGAACTGCAAGATTGGTGACTCAAAGCCACAAGCTGCTCCTTGGAAACCCTAAGCAAGGTCGCTTTGAGTCAGAATCAACTTGATGACACTTAACAACCACCTATAATGAGGCTTCTAACAGTTGCTACGTTCAGGGAAACAAGAGGCTATTATGGGTCTTCAAGTGTATTTAATTCCTCTAAATCATTATGGGAGCTCAGGTGGGGCCAGAAATTCTGATGTCCAACTCCTACCTCAACTCACTACCAGCTCCAACTCCAGGCAGCAGCTCATTCCTCTCTAACCCATGACTGCTTTTTCAAGTGCTATTTTGTTCCCTTATCTCACCTGGAAGACATTACTTTTGTGGCCACTCTCAAAGTCCAGTACTGGCTGTCGCCGTACCCAGTCCCACACCACCACTTTCAGATCATCACTGCCACTGGCCAGCCAGGTACCACGCTGGTTAAAGTGCAAGGTATTGACACAACCGGTATGACCCTCAAGCCCATGCTGCAGACGGAAACGTTGCACAAAGACTCTTGCCCCACAGGCCTCATACACAAAGCGGGCATTTGAACCCAGTTCCCGCTCCCGAAGGGCAGGAAGGGCTTGCCAGCGAGGTCGAGGCAGAGCTGATGTCTCTGAAGACACCCAGTCCTCCAAGGCCCGCTCATCATCTGATGAGTCCTGTTCACGGTTGGTTCGCTTGCGCTGTACACGACACCGAGGCTGCTCTTCTTCCTCCTCCTCTTCTTCCTCTTCTTCCTCTGAGCGGTCATGGACTCGGTTTTCATCATTGATGGAATAATGGCCAGTGTCTTCCATGCTGTCAGAGTCCTTGTCTTCAGCAGAGCTTTCTGTGTCTGTGCCTCGACTTTCTGTACTAGTACGGTTAGGGCCACCATCATCACCCGTCAAGCTCAGGCTCAGGTCTGAGGCTTCCACTTCAATGCCTGAAGATGTCTCTCGGCCCTCCTCAGCTCCAGACATCTCCTCTGGACTGCTGGACAGGCTTCCTGGATGTGGGAAAGGGATAGGTAAGGAGGAAAAATAAACAGAGAAGGAATCAGAAGAATTTACCCTCCTCAGGGTAAGAAATCATCACATCAAAGGACCCAGAAATCTATTTTGGTCAAACATCTTCATTACAAATACTTAAATGAGTGTCTTCTGAAGGAGAAACTTGTAAGGGTCAAGAAACTGAAAAGACTGCAATTAAAGTCAAACGAAAATAAAGATACTTCAACCCAAGTGAAGAACTAGCTCTCAAGAAGAAAACATTGGGAAGTTGTACTAAAGTATGCTTGATACAACTATCTTAGGCTTTGTTCTGTTGATGGACACCCATTGGTTACAGCACATAATTTAACTGAGTATAAGGAAAAAAAACAGCCATACTCAGTCAAGAGTTAGTTTAGCTCTCTTCTTAGGGAAAGATGAAAACAGCTCATTAAAATCACGTTGACTTATGGATGTAGAACTGTGGCCATTTCTTACTTCCAGAAAGTATCATTACCCTCTATATTCTAAGTTTCTTTACCCTAAGGTTCATTTATGATACTCATCACTGGGATCAAAATCACTTGGAATCAAGATGGAAGTGGAAGGAAAAAATGTGAATAGTCATCACCTGAGTGTTATCAAGCACCTTTTAACAGTAATGTACTTTGACTTTATTTCCATTTGCTTAATAATTGTTTATAATCATAGAAACTCTTTGAGACAAAACTTTATCAGGAAGTATGTATAAAGTTGATAAAAAGCAGGCAAGGCTACTATTGTAAGTCCCTGAGAAGAAAAGTTCACAGTATAGGACTGCCATGTTGAATAATAGTTATAAAATAATTGGACCACTTCAAAGCGATCTAAATCACTACAATTAGATACCTTTAGTTTCCTAACAGTGAAATCATATTCCAATGAGTACTTGGGCAATGTTGTAGAGCAAAGCAAAACAACTTCCAACCTAACCTTAGGTCAAGATGTGAGGAAAAGATAGGGTATATGAGTTTTAAACACTGCTCATGTCACTTTTCTTTCCTGAAATGACTAAATTTCGTCCCATAAAAAATAAATTCTGTTAGCAATGCTATCCCCTCTGTATACAGAGTGGATAGTGATGGGCAACTTAGACATTGGCTACCTAAAATAAGGGGGTGATAAAGGCACGAAGTGACTGGCTTACAAGTTTTTCAAGGGTGGGGGGCATGTTTAGTTTAAGAGTGTGTGGGGGAAGATAAGAATCCCCACTGAATAGATTTCATCTTTACTAGATGAGTCTGGTAAAAAGAGATGGGGATAAGATTCTTATGATTCAACAGTAATTGTTATCATGACTAATTGCAACTCTCACAACTATATAAGATAGAAGTTTTGTAACAAAAACGGGGGAGTAGTTAATCTTACAGTCCAGAGACAGAGGACCCTAGGACCAACAAGGGAGAACACAAGCACAATGCGGGACCCTATCCAGAGAAGCAGCGACACCAGAGATGGAGGCAGAGATGGGGACATGGAGAGAGAGGATGAGGACTCTGGATTCATGGAAAGAGAGGGACTGAGAGCTGGCAGTCAGCAGGCAGGCTGGCAGAATGTGCCCTTTGGTGGTTTCAATTATTATAAATGCTTGAGTGTTTTAAAAAAAAGAGCTAAAATGAAAAGAGAGAAATACTGTTAACTGATGGTACATGGAGGGGATTATAATCATTGTAATGAAACAAAGTATATTATTTGTTGAATGTAAAATTGATTGATGATCTACCCTGTAAACTTTCACTCAATTCACAATAAAAACTTTAAATAAATAAATAAATGCTTTTAGGAAAGACACAACATCTATGACTCTGAAGTGAGAAATTCAACTCTACATCACACTGACGTCTTTAAGATTCAGACTTTGAGTATCTTGCCCAGTCATCTGGATTAAAGTAGTGTTTCTGAAAATCTTTGAAGAAATGGAATCCTTTTTCAATAAATTCTTATGCAAAGCCCAATGGAAAAAACAAACTTTAAAGAAAACACAAATTTAAGTAATGACAGAGGTTGGAAGAAACATAAACATCTCTTTTTAATTTTTTTTTTACATTTAAAATAAACATCTCTTTTTAAAATGCACTTCAACTAAGAGAACAGTATAAAAATAGTAACGTAGGAGCTGAAAGAAAAAGAATTCAGCAATTTGAGCCTAGGAACCTCATTTGCTGATACCGCTTATTGTACACCAAGGAGGTTAAATAGTTAAGTTTTTTTTTAAATGCCAATTAGATTTTAGATTGGAAGTAGTGCGAAGGGATATAATATATCATACCTAACAGGTTTATGGAGAGTGAAAAGTAAAATATTAAAATTCCTAATATTATTAAACTGTGTTTATTATGTATGCATTGTTGTTGCTAAATGCCATCACGTGAGTTCCAACTCATAGCAATGCTTATAGGGTTTCTGAGGAGCAACTAGTAGATTTGAACTACTGATCTTGTGGTTCACAGTCCATGCTGATTCAACAGTACCACACCAGGAGTCCTTATTGTGCATTACAATTAATAAATTCAGATGACTTTGGGGGCCCTATCCCATGAACTGATATGGTACTGAAGGATAAGCAATGGATTGCTAACCACAAGATCAGCAGCTCAAACCCACCAGCATGCACCTTAGAAAACCTATACAGGATCAGTAGGAGTCAGAAATGACTTGACAACAATAACAACCACCACAACCACATCAACTAAAGGACAGAGTGTATCACAAGTTCAACACAAGGATTCCAACAGCCAATGACCAAGATTGAATTTAAGGACTGGCATTTTTTTTTTTTTTTTTTTTTTTCTGTAAAGGACCAGACAGTAAAAATGTTAGGTTTTGCAGACCAAATGAATTTCTGTTGTTAACTATGCATTTCCAGTAATGTAGTATAAAAGCACCCATAGACACTATGTGAACAAATAACAATGGCTCTGTTCCAAAACATATTTATAAGAACAGGTGGTGAACTGAACATGGGCCGCAGATCATAGTTTGCCAACTCCTAATCTAGTTAATGGCCAAACTCCAAATCAGTAGTACCTTAAACCTTTCTAGAAACCTGTGCCTTTTAACTAAGCCCAGTGAAAATCTGAATTTACTCTTGACAGAAGATCAGTAAGTGACTACTGGTAAGAAAATAATAAAGAAGCAATAAAACAGCATGTTTGAAATTCGTCACCTACCCTACTTTTCATCATCACTGCTCTACCAATCATCATCAAATCGAATTTAATCTATAATTCTGACTGCACGGTGTTAAGAAATGCTACACTTTGTGCTGCCCAACTATATTTATTTGGAAGAGGTTCTCCCTAGCTCAGAAGTTGGCTCAAAGATCAAGCACTGGCTCAATGACTGAGGTAACAGCTATCACTCTATCAGAATCTTGATGTTCTGCCTTTAAATCTAATCTAGACCAACTAACACTTGGCAGCACTGGCGCTAAAAAAAAAAAAAAAGCCCCCGTTTCAGTTGAGCTTGTTGGGTTTTAGCTTTATCTCTATCAATAATCTCTATCAAACTATGATCAAATTAAGATGAAAAGGGACCTCTCAAAACAGTGGGGAGCCTCATCTTCTCAACAGCTCTCTCATTCCTACCACCAACTGGATCTTATTTTTCTCTATTGCAACATCTCCTACAATTTCCCTGTCTGTACAAGGTACACTCTGTCAGAATTTCAAGCCACTTGACCTCACAGATTCACAGTACTGATACTGATCTTCTAAAAACAATCAAACAAAAGTGGAAGGAGTAAAAGTAACAAGATAGTCCAAGATATTTCTTACAGAGTTTTCAGTATGTACTCAAAACAACACAGGAAAGGTTCCCTCCATTCACTAAAACCCAGGTTGATATGTTTGAAGAAGAGGCAGAAACTTCAATTGATAACAAAAACAGCTTTGCCTCATCTTAGCCCCTTACCATTAGCTAAGTCTGTTTTGCCATCTGTGCTGTTCTCTTTGCTGGACATCTTGAATGATGTTTGTAGCAGCCAGCCTAGATTTAGGACAGAAAGAAAATGAAACAATTAGAACACAACCCTGAGAAAAGACAATAAGGAACAGTGAGATTTAACAAAGTATGCTGTTTATGTGTGCTGTTGATTCTGAATTACAGTGACCCTGTATAGGGTTTCTGAGAGCAGCAGGTGGGTTTAGAACTGATGACCTTATAGTTAGCATTCCAGTGCTTATCCTGTAGCACCACACCAGGGATCTAATAATGTACATACAGTCTTTGTCATTTTTATAAAATGAATTACTTTTGTGTTAATAGGGCTTCTTGTTGTTTGTTGTTGTTAAGTGCCATGGAAGTGAAATCAGTTCTGACTCATAATGACCCTGTATAGGGTTTCCAGGGAATGGCTGGTAAGTTTGAACCACCAACCTTGTGGTTCAAACTGACCTTGAGGTCGAGTGTTTATCCTACAGCACTACACCAGGACTCCATAGGGTTTCTTAACTGCTATAAAATACCTCAGGTGGTGGTTCCTTTTTTTCCTATGTCTGTGGTACTGTAGGATAAGCAAGGGACTACAAAGTCAGTTTGAAACACAAGGTCAGTGGTTCAAACTCACCAGCCACTCCTCAGAAACCATATACAAGGTCACTATGAGTCAGAACAGACTCATCGGCAATTAAAAACAAATTTACATAGAGTCATAATCTTAGGAAGGTCAATTACCAACTCTACTTTATTCACTGAGTAACTGGCAGTGTCTTTTCAGATTTGAAAGAGGCAACTGAAATAAATAAAACCCTAAACAGCAAACATATATCAAATGACAGGTACTGCAAGCAGAGTCTCAACTCAAAAAGCTAGCCTTGGCATTGCTTGCCCTTCAGACTCTAAGAATCTTGTTATAAATACTAGTCACAGACACCTGTAAAAAGCCGAATTGGCAAAAGTTGTGTGACAGATACATATTTATAACCCAGCTCAAAATTTTAAAAAAGTAGCTACTAAGGTTGCTTATGTACTGGACACCCCATGGTATTTGGTTCCTTGTTTTAGTGCTAACATATTTTGTACTTGCTCTACCTCCTAGATTGCTCCATAGTACGTGTGGCTTTAAAGCTTGCAAGCAGCTATCCAAGGCATAACACATGGTGGGAATAAGGGAGCTGCAGCAACAAAGGAAAGTAAAAACAGGAAAAGAAGAGGATATGAAATGTGTGGATAAGTGCCTCTATAAACTGCCTCATTTCCCATGAGACCAAAAGAACTGGATGGTACCCAGCTACCATTATTGAACATTTTGGTTAAAGAGTCCACAAAAGAAACCTGGTCAAAAGGGGGGAAATACAAAACAGAATTTCAAATTCTCATGGACTCAAGACTTCAGGGAACTATGAAGGGTAGATGAACCATAAAACTAGCACCCTTAAACAGTGTTTAAATCTTAAAACAAAACTATTCCCTTGAAGTCATTTTAAGATTAAACAACTGTTTAGCATAACTAGTAAAAGAGGTGTGCCTTGAGCATCATACTCTTTTAAGAACAACTGATATGAGATCAAACTGACAACAGCAACTCAAAAGATTAGCTAGAAACCTTAGGGGGCATTGAGTCTATCTATGCTAATGAGAGTAGACCAACTCAGAAAATGAGGATTAGAATGGTTACCCAACTGAAAGAATATAGTCAATGTCACGGAACTGTACATGTAGAGACCACTGAATCAGTGTATATTTTGCCGTGTACATTCTCAACAAAATAAAATTTACACAGGGGAAAAAAAACTAGTATATACATGCACAGCCACAAAACCTGTAAAAACATGTCTTAACGTGAATAGGTGGGTCAGATTCTGACTATAATTTTATATCTGTCAACTTAGGTAGAAAAGAAATCAAGCTCACATGCCTAATTTCAGCTTATTATGGTGATGGTGGTTGTGTGTCACGAAGTCAGTTCTGACTCATAGTGACCCTGGATACAGTTTCTGAGATTGCAAACCATTATGGGAAAAGAAAGCCTCACCTTTCTCCCAGGGAGCGGCTGGTAGATTTGAATCACTAACCTTATGGGTTGCAGCCCAACTTGTAACCTACTTATATATATACATACATATACTATGTTGCTACCAGGGCTCCTTACAACTTATTACATGCAAAGATATAAGTTAAGAATTACAAGAGGCAGAACTAGAGTTTAAAACTCAGGAACACCATACCACTAAGAACTTAAAAATTTATAGGATCTCTTTGTTTCCTGTTAGGAGTATTTGTCAGTTGCCAAGTGGAAAATTCAGAAAGAAAAGGGTAAGATCTCTGTTAAACCATCTCATCCTATTTCACAATAAAGCATACATTATTTCTCCTAAGTCAACCAACTTTCGCCACACTCATCTTCTGTCGATGTCCCAGCTATGTGTCTGGGTGCTAGCTTTTAGACTCTAATGACACTGTTAACAATTCATTATTTTTTTCAGGGCCTCACTCCAACCTTCAACAAATCCCACAGAGCAAAGACCAATATTATTTAGACCAGAATTTTGTTAAGCCCTTTCAGTGCCTTGGACAAAAGGCACTGGGTAAAAGACAAAGTATGAATTATGACCCTATCCCTTATACCCAGGCATATTAGCCTCTCTAATTTTTCAACAACCCTTTCATTATCATAACAATTATCTTAGAGACTTTACTTTCCCAGCCCCATCTTTACTCTTCTCCTCCTCTCTTGCCCTTCTCTCCTCTAAAGAAATCCAAGTAGCTTCATACAAAGTGTCAGCTACCACAAGATAGCTGCCCAAAGATTGCTCAAAGTAGACCACAGCAAGGAGTAAAAATATAGCCAGAGCAGGGCTGAGGCTCAATTTGAGGGAAGGACACCTGGAAGGCTGACAATGAAAGACAATGGCAACAAAAAAACAAATTTGTGAAGCCACATAAACAGAAACTGCAATGAACTGTTTGCATATATTTTTGTATAGTGTTCTTCTCATAGCCCTTTTTTTCCCTCTCAATAGTCACTGTTCATTATTTTTTAGCATCCCAGCAATATCCTCACCTCCAGCTAGGATTTAAATTAATCATGTTAATTGCCAAAGTCTTACAAAGTGAGGGAACTGATTACAATGTTTTTTAGAATTAAAAACTTAGGTCATAAGCACACCAGTATTATAGTGGAGAATAGAGCTGATGCTTTCCTACCTCAGACTCAAAACTCTCTACACCACACTATGTATCTCACCCCAATGATCCACTTTGGTGTCCTGCTGTGGCGCTGCAGAATAAGCACTGGACTGTAAGGGTGGTTTGAACCACGAAGTCAGTGGTTCAAACTCACCAGCTGCTCCTTCAAAACCTTATACAGAGCCATTAAGAGTGGGAACCAACTTGCTGGGACTTAACAACAATGATCCACCCTGAGAAGAATGAAAAAGCAGCTCCAGTGAACCTTTCTCAAGTTGGGTCTCATCAATTTCTCCAGAAGCCCAGACTGCCCGAACTTAAGACTCTTGGGCTCTAGAGAGACTATTTGCCTTCCTAGTCTCTGTGACCATAAGAAACCAAAGCCTAATAATTTCCACCTAGCTCTGAAAAATGAAAAGCCATGAACTTGAACCCATAACCATAAGACTGCAAAGCTAGTCTTCTGACAATATCAGTGTAAGTTTCTTCTAAGAAGGGATCATCTCATTGAAGAAAAAGTTGACAGAACGTATTGCTAAATTCAGAAACAGAGAATGAATTTAATGAATGCTTATGTCAACCATTAGAATGAATCTAATGAATACTTATGCCAACCCTGTTTATCACTTAACTGACAGGCAGACAGCTTCTGCAGGTCACATTTTAGGGGGCACAGAGGAATCCTGGTGTAAAGCTGTGGGCTAATACGTCAGTCTGCAAAGTCATTTGAACTGCAAGGTCAGTGGTTCAAGTGCACCAGCTGGTCCTTGGAAACGCTATACAGGGTCACTATGGGTTGGAATTGACTAGACGGCACTTAACAACAACAATAAGAGTAGAGCAGAATCAGACTCAGACAGAAAATTAGAAGTCCAAGGTTCCAGTATTAGCTAAATCATTGGTGACCTTGGATGAACTACTTAATCATATCTTCATTTCACTTTTTTCATTTGTAAAATGGTTTCCAGAGACAGGACCAACAAGTAAAATCATACATGTTAAAACGTCTGCAAAAATGTACTATACAGTGTGGTCTCAAAACTTTATAAATCTCTGGAGAAGAACAAAGAAGATGGCAGATCGGGTAGATGTACAGTGAGGAGCTCCATCAACAACAACACAGAAAACCGGACCAAGCAAGCTCAAGAGATGGTGCCAGAACCCTGCACCACACATAAAGGAATATTTAGAAAGTTGGAAGACTTATAAATAGGGGAATTTGTAGCAGAAGCAGGAAATCCATTGCTTTCTAATTTCAACACGCTCAGTTGCTCCTGGAGCCGCCATCTTGGGTGAGACCAAGCAGGGAAAGGACTGGAGCAGCCACAAATGCCTGACAGAACTGCAGAGATAAAGGTGTGGACATTATTTTTTTTTTGTTCTTCATGTCTGTTCATTGGTCTCTTGCTGCCTGCACACCTCCATTCTGGTGACTAGACTAGGGGGTGCTTAAGCGAGTGGACACCCCACCCCTACCCCCGGAGGGTTCTACTACCCATGCACACAGATCTCCTAGAAATTTAAAGTGACAGTTTCCACTTAAAACCAAACTACAGTACAAAATGACCACAGCCAGCACAGAACTGTTTATCACTAAGAAAAACACCTCAACGGGGATTGTGGAGCGTGACAGGTAGACTAAAAAGGAAACAGGCTGAAAAATAAATCCTGAGTTACGTCACAATGACCAACAGTGGCATCTTGAAATTTCTCAGGAAAGAGTGAAAAGGGAAGCCCATTTCTTGATCACATCTACCTGGAGGCAATCAGAAACCATAAAAAAATACCAAAATACATACCCATCTAAGTATTAAGGCCACAGATAACTCCTGAATGTGCCCCAAAAACTGAAAAAGACA